GCCCTTCCGCCCCGCGCCGGCCGCGCAGCGCCGCCTCCAGCTGCAGGTTTTCCCGCTCCAGTTCGCGCACCCGGCACACGTAGTCGTAGAGCCGGGCGTTGAGCTCCTGCAGCTGGGCCTTCTCAGCCCGGGTCTGCAGCCGCCAGGTCAGCATCTTGCTGGGTGTGCGGGGCTCTGGCCGGCTGATCGGTGTCTGCCCTCCCGCCCTGATCTTGTCCCCTCCGGCCCCGCCGCTCCGGCCCCGCCGCTGCCTCCGAGTCCCGCAGACTGGGACCGTGGCGGGCGAGACCCGGCACTTAGCGGACTGGGTGGGAAGCAGCGGACACAGACTCCAGCCAATCAGAGCGCGGCCCGCGGCCTCCAGCCAATCAGAACGCTGCCCGCGACCTCCGGCCAATCAGAAAGCGGCCCGCGCGGCCACTGCGGTTCGACAGCGCCCCCTGCCAGTCAGACCGCAGGGTCGACGCTGACCCCTTCTTGGGTCGCAGGTACATGGGTGCAGGACGAAGGTGGGATTGTTTTCTGGCTGTGACTCCATCGCCCTGCAAGGCCTCGAGAAGGGACAAGGGCCAGGGCTCTCACGCAGACCCACGGCACCCCAAAAGCGCTATGGTTCATGGATGAAAATGTGAGATATACTGGGACATCATCCATGGCTCTATTATATATATATATATATATATATATGTGTGTGTGTGTGTGTGTGTGTGTGTGTGTGTGTGTGTGTGTATAATATATTTTATACATAATATATTATATCTATGAAAGGCCTGGTGGGAAAGTGCATGAGACTCTTATCTCCAATTAATTAACAAAAAGTCAGAAATAGAACAGTGGCTTCAGTGGTAGAGCTCTAGCTTAGAGTTGAGAAGCTGAGAGTCCGAGGGCCTGAGTTCAAGTCCCACTAATGGGCACCAAAATACAAGCTGTCTGCAGGCGGTAGAGGTTTCTCTCTCGGGTCTGAATCCTCTGACACTCTGTCGTGGCTAAATTGCACCAAGGTGTGGGACAGAGGGCTTGGTCGTGGCCAGGTGCTCGTGGCACCCAGTTCCTGATCGTTAAGCCCAGAGAGGACCCAGCAGTGACATTCCCCAAACCTGCCTGGCCGGGGGGAGGGACAGAGAGGGTACGCAGAGCATCCTTCCGGAGTGCCACTGGACCACAAACCCCTGGACTGAGCCGCACGCGTCAGGTTAATATCTGGAAACCTGCCCGGCTTTGCCTGGCTGGGCAGGCAAAGGTGAGCCAGCTCCTCCCGCATCTGCGGCTCTTCCTAGGAGGATGCTTTGCTCTGATTCATGAGGTTTTCTTTGCTCTGTGCCCTTCGAGGTATTGGATTTTGAACGTCACAACTTCTGCTTGAAATCCTGCCGCAGTGTAGAGCTACCCAGATAGAGAAGAGAGAGCCCACCAGGAAACAGGAGTAGGAAACACAAGTACTGTTTGTTCATTTTCCAAAATCACATCTTACTTAATCCTTGAAAAACTGAGGCTCAAGGAGTTGAGTAATTTGCCTGAGAACGCAGTTTTGCCAGGCACCTGCAATTCAAATCTGCAGTCCTAGCTACTCAGGAGGCTGAGAGCTGAGGATCTGTTAGAAGCCAGCCTGGGCAGAAAAGCCCATGAGACTGATCTCCAACTAACAGGAAAGAAAGAAAGGGAAGGAGGGAGGGAGGGAAGGAAGGAAGGAAAGAGGGAGGGAGGGAAGGAGGAGGGGGAGGGAAGCAGGAATGGAAGAAGGGAGGGAAGGAAGGAGGTAGGAAAGGAAGGGAGGGAGAAAAGGAAGGGAGGGAGGGAAGGGAGAGCTGTAAGTGGAGCAGTAGCTCAAATGGTAGAATGCTAGCCTTGAGCACAAAAGCTAAGAGATAGCACTCAGCTCTGAGTTCAAGCCCTAGGAATGGCATGCACATGCGCAGAGAGACACAGACACACAGAAAACACAGTTCCTAAATTGGGGGATGGAAGTATTGTTAGAGGTTGCAAGCATGGAACAGACTTGATCTCCCAAAGGGAAGGGAGTAAGGGGCTGGATGGAGAGAGAGGGCTATTTATATCAGGAAACAGCAAGAATGGAAAGCAAGGCATCCTTAGCACCCTAGGGTGCTGGCTGAGCCTGGAGGATCCTGGAGCTCTGGAGGGCGGCCCGGGTTGGAAGGAGCTGCAGAAGGTACCCTGGGCTCCATCTCCAGCCAGCGTCTTGTGCTGTGGAAGCCAGACGTTGACCAACCTCCCTGCAGGGGGCGCTGGAGGCTGTGCAGCCTAGCTGTGATGGTTAAATTACCCATCACTGGAAATAGAGGCTCAAAGTAGAAATTAGATACAGAAAACACAAACGTGTTATTTCCTGTACATCTTAAGTTCATGATGGAGTGGTACACTTGCTCCTGGCATCTGGCCAGACAGGAAAAGAAGCCTGTGCCAGTCTAACTTGAAGGATTGAGCTGAGCACAATATGGCGGAGGGTGGGGTGGGGGGCGACTGAGTTTGGCATCCTGGTGTATGACCTTGAAAAGACAGCCTCTCTGATCCTGTTCCCTTATTCAGGTAAAATGGCTCCCTCCCAAGTCGCTGATACAGACTTGGATTACAGGCGTGAGTCTCCAGTCCCTCTCCCCCGCCCCCCTCTTTGGGTTCTTGAACCTCCCAGGCTCAGTTTACTCATCTGTCAAGTGAGGCTAACTCTTCCTAAGACTGCTCCAAGAATAAAAGCAGACAGGAGGGAGAGGGCCTCGGGACACAGCGTCTTTCCTTATACCCTACTTGGTGTGGAAAAGTTGTTTGTACGAACACAGCCTCTCTTTCTCAGAGCCCCCCCTTCAGCCCTCCATGGCTCTTCCGGCTATTTCTAGTGAGCAAGTGCTTGTTTATCACAGCAGGTGTTTAGAGTTGGTTTGGAGGCTGCCTTTTCCGAAGGTGTGAAAATAGCATTTGTCAGATGAAGAAAATGTACTGTAACTTCATCTGCATAACTTCCTTCTCTTCATTAGTAGAGCCATGTCCTGTGCATTTGCATGTGGCCTGGGGAGTAGCCCCCAAGGGGTGATCAAGTGGAGGAGGGAACTTAATTACAGTGTATAGAATTGAGTTCTTCGAGAAGTGATTAGAATTAGATCAGGTCATCAAGGTGACGGTCCTCAGGGTTAAAGACTGGTGACTTGAAGAGGAAAGAGAAAAGGCCAGGCACCGTAGTTCACACCTGTAGTCCCAGTTACTCAGGAGGCAAAGATGGAAGGATTGACGTTTGAGACCAGGGGCTGGGAAGGTGGCTCAGTCAGTGGTAGAGCACTTGCCTTGCATGCATGAGGCCCTGGGTTCGATTCCTCAGCACCACATAAGCAAAAAGAAAAAAGCCAGAAGTGGTGCGA